ATCCAGGCTTTTCACAAAGGAGGAGCAGAGAGAATGTGCAGTGTGAAACTCTGAGGATGGAATAGACTTGTTTGTCAAGATCTAACTTTTCTAGCATTAACTGCAGTAATGACCCATGAAGTTATTAAAAGAAATATAGTAGGAAAATGTGGGTGGAAATGGAAGACTATTTCCTTTTTTACAACTGTAACTCCTTTGTTTTATGATGGAAAGGAGATTTTTTTCTTTAAAAGACTGTATAGGGCAGGTTAGGCAATGATATTATATAAACTAAGAATTGTGAGAGTATGACATTTGAGATTATTTATGTAAAATCATCCTTTAAATCATCTAAACCGGGGGTCTACAACTATGACAGGCCCTGCTACCTTCCTGCACATCTATCCACTGCCTAATTTGTATGACTATTTTACATTTTTAAATTATTGAAAAATCTAAATAATAGTATTAAATTGACCCATGCAATTTATTTTTTCACTGACCACAAATAAAGTTTTACTGGCATGTGGTCATATTCATTTGTTTACATCCTGCTTCTGGCTGATTTTGCACAACGTTGTGAGTAGTTATCATAGAGACCGTGTGACCTGGGCAGCCTAAAGAGTTTATTCTTTTTCTATTTGTTCTATTGGTACAAAAATTGACCAACCCTGCTCTAAGTCATAGAAAGCACACTGTTGTAAAGTGGGAACACAGAACCCTGCCCTGCGTATTGCCACTGTGTGACTTTGGCAGTTCCACTACCTCCAAGAGCCTCTCTTCCTTCAGAGAGAGAGAGAGAGAGAGAGAGAGAGAGAGGAGAGGAACAGAGAGGGAGAGGGAGAACACTCGGATATATGGACAAGTAAAAAATGAAATGAATACCTGTAGAGCTGCCATAAAATCTAAAATCCTGGTTTCAGCTCCTGTTTATCTTTTTGCAGTGCTGAGCACTGAACCAAGGACCTCCTGTACTTTAGGCAAATGCTCTACCACTTAGCCAGCCCAAGCCCAGCTCTTGTTAAGTTAGGAATAAAGGCTTGCAGATGTTGGTTGTGGCTGAACCTCCATTTCAGCCCCTGGATGCAGTGGTTTGCTTAGCTGAACTCGATACTAGGATACAGAGGCCATAACAAGAAGCAAGAATCCACACCTGCCTCGCAAGTGCAAGGTCCTGAGTTCAGTCCCTGGTACAAGAAAGAAAAAGAAAGAGAAGGAGGAAGAAGAGGAGGAGGAGGAGAAACAGAAGCAAGAACCAAATTCACACTTTTATTTCTAAAAGGGACTTATTATCTTCTATTGTATGTAATTTCCTTTCAAACATATAGCAGGTAGAACCACCCAAAATGGAACAGCTATCATCAGTCACAGGAATGTATTTTGCTTTTGTCTCGAGTGACAGGCAGATAGACATCAAAATCAGTTTCATTATTAGAAGGTCCTAATTCTCATATCAAATAAGCAAGTGAAACAATTTACTTTTCTTCCAAATAATGTCAGGAAAAGTTCCATTCCTGTGACAGATGTGGAAAGATGCAATTTCCCCTGCAAAGTTTCAAATCTGTAGAGAAGCAAAAGAGATTTGCAGCACAGCTCCTCCTTGTGGAGGGAGACCAGGGGTTCATGACCAAAACTGAAGTAGCACTGATGTCTGCCAGCCCCGTGTTCACTTTAACCCCCTGAAATAAAATGCTTTTAAGGAAAAAAAAAAAAAAAAAAAAAAAAAAAAAACCTAGAAAATTGAGGCACTGGCTATCAACCAAAGAATGAAATCAAACCAACTTGTAACAGTAGCTTGGACAATGCATCCTAGAGCAACTCCACAATTAGACCCATCAGTCTTCTCAGTCAACCTCAAGTGATTCTCTTAAAAGGTTGAAAGATAGCTCAGCGGTTCCAACGCCTGCCTCGCAAGTGCAAGGACCCAAGTTAGAAACCTGGTACCAAAAGGAAAAAAAAAGATTGAAGAGATGATGTGTGTGACACAGGACTCAAGTCATTTTGGGTTTGAAAGTCTTATGGGTGGTTTGGAAACATTGGAGGACTATTGGGCACTCACCTTGGTGCATCTGCCACATCAGAGGAGCCCCGCCTGGCTTCCTGCACAGCATTCTTGTCTGGAATCCATCGCTTGGCACACAACCTCAGTGAACAGCCCAAAGGGACCTTTCAGGGTATATGGCCCGGTGTTGCAGGCCACCCCTGCTGCGGTGTGTCTCCCCCTCAACTCCTGGGCTCACCCAGCTTCTGGTCGGAGATGTGCAGAAGGAACAGGTTCTCTGAGGCACTGGGCAACTGTCATGGCCGAAACGTCTGTCCAAAAGTTGAGTCAGAATTGGTCTTGTCATCATTCATTTGACATCAGATTTTTTTTTATATGTTTGGAAACAATCTTACTATCCCCCTTTTCTTCTTTAAACTAAACATCTCTCATTTTTTAGGTTTTCAAATGAGATGATTTTAGCTATTTCACTAGCCCGGACACCCTTTCCTGGACACAGCCTAATTGGCAATGACCTTTGAAAATATCCAGTCTCCACAATTAAAAGCAGAGCTTTAGGAGGGTTTGGTTGCCCTCATGAGGGAAGATTCTTGGCCACATGACAGCTCTCTTTCCCCGTTCAATTCTGCTCAACTTTCTTCGTGCCTCCTCAAGTCTCCAGAAACCATGGTGTCTTTCCCTATATTCCTTATTGCATAGTGTATGGTGGACCCTTGACTTAACAAACTCAGTTCATTCTTGAGGGATGGCTATAAATCAAGTTGGTTAATTGAAGGCTCAGGCTCCTCTACACAGCCTTCAGAGTCTCTCTACTGTATACAGGCAGATCTCAGTGTCCTTAGAGAAATAATGGCCCAGGATATCTCAACTAACCCCACACAGGAAAGGATGTTGTAATGTTCCTTTCAGAACTCTTTAAGGGTTAAATCTGTATCTGAGGGCTGTGGATTTATCTCAGCATTACGAGTGCCTGCCTCACAAGCGCAAGGACCTAATTCAATCCCCGATAACAAAAAAAAAAAAAAAATCTGTATCTGAGACCATCTGGAAGCATAAGCAGCTGGCATTCGGATTGTAACTCAAGACTTTGTCTGTAAGTTAAAGCTAAAATTTGGTCATAACCCAAGCTGTTCATATGTCAGGCCGGTCATAACTCAAGGGTCTACTGCAAAATAAAACATAAGCCAGTACCACAGCAGGTGGTGGCCTCAGATAGGTAGATAAAGGTAGGGTCCAGAGTCTTTCTCATTTTGCCAAGGGCTTTGTGCCCATTGATTACCAGGTGTCTACAAGACAGAAGAGATCCCTGGGAGGAAAGGGATTCATTGCTTGGGCTTTGGAAGAGGAAATGCATGCTTTAGGAAGAGGGATGGGCTAAAAAAAAGAATTCTTCCTCCAAATCTGGGATTCAGTGGAATTATTTTCTTTTCCTTTTGAGTATGTGGATATCATAGATGAGTGTTAGCAGTCCTTACGCCACCCAAGGATATGGAAGTGTAACAGTGTTTGGTGACACTATTTCTGTTTACTTCTGTGCCCTTGCCCTGGGCAGGCATGGATGGCTCTGGGCAAGGCAAATCTCTGGGAGACTCTGCTTGGTGGAGATCTTGCTCCTCAGTGAGTGGGAGGAGCAGATACCTCTGTGTCCTCTCAATATGTCACTGGCTTCGATGACTCTTGGACAGGTGGACCATATTGACAAAGGCTACTAATTTCTTTTTTCTTTTTTTCAAAATTTACCATTTAGGGAGACCAACTCCATTTTTGGATCCTGTGTTTAGCCTCCATGTAGTTACACTGCACTATCTGGTATATACAACCAAACTAAATCAAATAGTACAGTTTAACCAATTAACCAACTCATCACCCAGATGAAAACCATGAGGAGTAGAGGTAGTGGGAAAAATGGAGAGAATATTTTGTTTATTCTTCCTTCATATATGGGTAGTTCTTAAACTTGAGTGCAAGCGTCATCTGTGATGCATGATAATAATGCATCCCCAGGAGCTCTCTTGGAAAGTCTGACTTAGGAAGTATAGGCTGCAGCCACATTTCTGATATATTTCAGGTGATTCTGATGTTGATGGTCTAGGAGTCGCATTTTCATACGTTATAGAGAGAGATTATCTGGGATGCTTTTGCTGGGTGACCTCCCTCTTCCACTACATGATATAGATATTCATGGTTTCTGGAATCTCCAACTGTGAAAGGAATAGAAGAAATTGGGGGAAATTGGCCATTTTAGTTTCTGTTTAAAATCAAGCAGAGAGGGCCAGGGATTTAGCTCAGTGGTTCTGCCCTCTGCCTTGCAAGCACAAGGACCCAAGATCGATCCCCGGTACCAAAATAAATAAATAAAATCAAGCAGAGAGCATTCAAACTGCAAGATGTGTTTGGAGCCATTCTGCAGACTGAAGAAGCCAATCTAGAGTTAATAAAGAAGATCATTATCAATAGTAAATCACTGATTAGGATCCACCTTCTTAAGGTGTTCCCTTTGCTACTATTAGACAAATGGAGTCACATGACTCAAGTTTCTGTTTTAATTTTTAAAAGACTAGAGGAGTTCCTAAGTGTAGGTGTTGTTTTGTTACATTTTGGAGTGTACACAGGTATGCATATGGATTACTACTGGTTTGTGAGGTAGTAGATGTTTTCTTTTTAAATTGGCACAATAGTTGTATAAATTTTAGCACGTGATTTTTTTTTTAATTTAATTTTTTTTTTTTTATACCAGTGATCGAACTCGGGTTCTTGTGCTTGCAGGGCAGGCAGTGGAACCAGTGAGCTAAATCCCTGGCAGCATGTGATGTTTTGATACATGTGTATGCAATGTGTACTGTTCAAATCAGGGTATACAATCTTTCTCCTCAAAGGTTTATCATTTCTCTGTAGTGAGAACATTTATTTTATTTTTTTAAGGCTAAAATGAATTTTTATTTAGAGTCTTACAGTAAAGGGGGAAACCTTAACTTGCAAGACGATTCTTCAGCAGAAGAATGTTCTTCAACATACTTTTTATTTCCATGGAATGGAATCAAACACAGACGGAGACTACAGAGTATACACTAGAAATCGGCAAATGCCAGGAACGGAATAGGGAAAAGACAAAGCAGTGAGGCCTAAACACACAATACCCCTTCACTGGGATCTGCTGACAGCAGCCAGAACCAGGGCTGGATCACACAGCGGAGACAGGGTCCAGGATAGGAGGAAAGAAAGCGGGCTGAGAGAAGAGGGGAGGGCCACACTGGGGTGTGTACCAGGCAAACTGCTCTTGGTATCTACATTACAAAAATCAGTTGGCTCCATTTCTCAGAAATACACACGAAAAGAAAAGGAAGATTTGATCATTACTTTATGCACCTGTCACTTTGCTCTTCTGACATCATCAGAAACAGGGATGCTCGCTCAGATTTAAATTTCAGTAGCAGGAAATAAATATCAAAACATCATCACTGGCCCTCCATACAAAACCCCTACCCACCCAATGCTCCCCTACTCCCACCCCCTCCCTAGTAACCGCCCCCTACCCCTCCTTGGTGGCCCCGTCTCTCGTCCACACTGAAAGTGTCGCATGGCCCTCTACAAGGCTGGCTCCACAGGCTTAAACAGGGCCGAGAGAGCAGGAGCGAAGCATGACACACACTCTGCAAACCTGTGCCCACTTTCCTTTACACCTCACACTTCTTCGAGGACCTGGTCTCTCAACAGGAGCGACAAATAGCTTTTTAGAAAAAAATCCTTACACAGGAGAGCAGGTAATTCTCATTATTCCAAACCAGTTGCCTTCCCGAGGTAAAGCAGTTCACAGATTCAGTCTGTCAAGGAGAGGTGGACCAGGAGAGGCCACAGGGCAGGGGTCCTTCCAGGCAAGTGCCCGGCGGGCTGGAGGAGCTGGTGGGCGGGCGGAGCATTGTGTGCTCGGAGGTCCGGCCGGCCGGAGTCCTCCACAGAGAAAGCTGCCAAATTGGGGTGTTTTGGTTTAAAAATTCCTGATGAGGGCAAGGAATCCCTGAAGGGAATACATTTTTTAAAAATAGTGAAAATGGGGAAGGAGAGCAAGAGCTGTTCTCCAACAGCGTCTACATAAATATAAAAATTAAAAAAAGAAAGAAAAAAATAGAGCCTCTTACAAGGTTCTGAGAGGGTTCTAACGATGAACTGAGAAGAGACGGTGGAGAAGAGACAGTTCTTACGGCTGGCCTGCCCCACACAGCTTAGCTGGCCTCCATCCGGAGTTTCTTCCTGCTCTGGGGCTCTTCAGGCTCCGACTCTGAGCTGGAGTCCGAGCCGCCGTCGAAGGCAGAGATGGTGCTGCCCTCGGCGTTGGTGTGGAGGCTGTTGTCTGAGGAGGGGTAGTTGGTCTGCAGTTGGGCACTCGACCTAGCTTTCTCCAGTGCACGGACTTGCTGCTCCAGAAGAGCATTCTGCCGCTTGAGGTCATGGATGTCTTGCTGGTGTGTGCGGTTTTTCCTTCGCACGTACTGGATATATTCTGTGGCTTTGTCTAGGATTTGGGCCCGGGATGCCTTTTCTCCTTGGAGTGATGGGACTGAGTCCCGCAAACTGTGAAAACTATCTTTGATGTGGTCCTTACGTTTTCCTTCCAGTGCATTATGATGAGTCCGCTTGTCAGCCTCGCTCTCCACTTCGATTCATCTTTATCGCTCATTTCCTGGGCCCAGGAAGCCCAGGGAGCGGCCACTGCAGCAGCGGCAGGGAGGGGGAGGGGGAAGTCACCGACTACAGCAAGCTGACTGCTCCCACGCAGCTCACTCGCTCACTCTCTCACACACACACCCACACACACGCACACACACGCGCAACCTGTAGTGAGAACACTTAAAATCCTTCGTCTAGCTTTTTTGAAACGTGCAGTACATTACTGTTATTTATAATCAACCCACTGTGCAACAGAACACCAGAACTTATTTCTTTTATCTAAAGTAACTTAGCACGCATTGCTAGACCTTCACCTATCTCTCCTTCTCCATCCTCCTGCCTTCTGGTAACCACCATTCTACTTTCAACTTGTATGAAATCAACTTTAAAATGTGTTTCTTACTGTGGGTCACGGTTTAAGAAAAATAGGCAGCATCTGTTATACCCTGTAATGACTTTTGGGAAATATTCCAAACACTCGTATTCCTGAGAATTTCTCTAATGTGAGAGTGATACGACCATGCTGCTCAGTGGGGTTTGTGCTGTGATTGGCAAGCACTCCGGAAATCAATTTCCTCGCCAGACTCACTGCCCTGCAGTCCGTGTTAATTTGTTTAAATAAAGATGGAGTAGGCAGGTGAAAGACACTGATGCCCATAATCAGATTAAATGAGTGAGAACTGGCAAGAAGGCTTGCTGTTTTTTGGAAGTGATAATGGAGAGATGAGGGAATATCAAATTAGAAAAATGGGAGAAGGGCCCTGATTGGAAAGAAGGATCCAGATGCAGGAAATTCGGGGTCTGGTGGGAAGGTTGCTGTGGTAATATAATCGGGTTGTTACCGGCGTGTGGCAGAAGGCCCACTGGGAAGGGGCCCTGTTTCATTAGAACACCTTGACAGCACATCCTGCTGATGGCCAACAGAAAAAGGCCGCAAAACGAAACAGAAACATTGTTTTCTCTCTTGCTCTAGCACTCTACCGATGAGCCTTCCGAGAAGGATGCACTGCAGCCAGGCCGGAACCTCGTGGCAGCTGGCTACGCCCTCTACGGCAGCGCCACCATGTTGGTTCTCGCCCTGGAGAGCGGTGTCAACTGCTTCATGCTGGACCCGGTGAGCACTCCTGGAGGACGCCAGGGTGTGGCTGGCGGCTATGAGTTGTGCGCGCGCGCATGTGTGTGCATGTGTATATGTGAGCAGAAGTAGGAGAGGTAGGAAATGAGGCCTGTGGAGTAATGGAGGTGGGCTGAGACGGGGAGGGAGACAGAGAGACATAAGAAGACCCTAGAAGTAAGAAATGATGTCTGTCCAGAGCAGAAGAGTCCATGCTCCAAAATGAGTTTTTTTAAAACAGCCACTATTCCAAATGGCTCCAATGGCCATGTGCACGGGCAGGCCATATAAATGGGTGAAGTGTGCTGGGGAGGGAGGGCCAGGGGTTCTGGCAGGGCTGGGTGAGCCAGTGGAGTATGGCAGTTTTTCCTACTTGGGAATAGAGGCCCAGTCTTACAAGGGCTTCCAATGTTTCAAGAAACAGTGGGTTAAAAAAAAAAGTACTGTTTTTAGATGTGCAAAACACTGCTGGCCGACTCACATTTATGCCCCAGAAGGGGCCTGTAGTTGGTCTGTTTGCCACCCACTAGATCCATTCCTAGCCTTTCTGCCTTAGCACCAGAAGGTTGTTCCCCTGTGGTGAATGGGTGCCCCAGCTGACACGGGGCACATCACTGTTTCTTCAAAAATAGCTACCAAATTGATTTTGCTCTGTGTGTACACACAGAAACCTGCAGTTAACCCTTGCGGTTTTGATAAGGCTTTGATGAACTCAAAGGAAGTGAAAATAAAGAAGGGCATGAAGATAATTCTTTAGTATACCTTAGAGAGAAAAGGGCCCTCCCAGAGAGAAGCCCATGGTGCCATTAAAAGATGCTCCGAGACAGTATTTTCACATGTGCACTAATCTGTCTTTTATTTATTTATTCAGTTAGATGGAAGTTTCAACGGAGCAGGTAAATCAGGGAAACAAATCTCTTTAAACGCCTGGTGCCATTAAAGCCACACTGAAACACACCCTCAAAAGAATCATTAACATACCAGTACATTCTTTATGAGTGTAATGCAGGGTGCCAAGGGGAAAAGAGCTGGATTTGTAAATTCCTTTTAATGTAAAAATGCTTCATATGATGCTAATGAAACACCTCTTGCACTATTTTTTTAAGTGAGCACCAGGTACAAACTGCAACCTGGAAACTTCTGTGAGAAGCAGGTTGTTGGGGAGCCTGCAGGTAGTGGGGATGTCAGGTGGTGTAAATCAGAACACAGGCTACTTTTGATTCGGGCACTCTTCACTGAACTGGACTTTCACCTCCTTCAGTAAACCATGGCAGGGTAATAGCGATAGTTTGTCTCTGAATGAGGTCACTTCAGAGGAAAATAGCAGCAGAGCCGGAGTAAAGTTCAGTCTGAGCCCAAACCGTAGCTTCTAAAGTCAGGGCTATGTCTCTACTGATGTTTCTCCTGGCCAGACATTGGCAGCTTCCCCAGACAATCTTCTGGTGCCTCCTCTGTGACCTTTGAATTGATAGATGTGTAGAAAAAGAATTGAATCTCTTCTCATTTTCAGTCTGCCCCTGGGTGTCTCCGAGAGTAAGTTTCTGTGCATTTGATAGTCTTTTTCCCTCTTCAGATCTGAATGTTTGAAAGAGCAATCAAGGGCGCTGTAATACTTTCCTGCTCTTGATTTCAGCTCTTCCGCTCACTGTCGTTTGGGAGTGGAGGGAGCCTCCTACCCAGGAGATGCTAGACATTAAGTGCTTCTTCTTCCCTTTGACTTGTGAGGAGAGGCTGACTTACGGTTTCTTCTAATACCACCACAGTAGAAGGGCATGTGTTTAGAGCTGGAGAAACGCTCCTTCATGGTGGATTTACGCCTCTCGTTGCCATCAGAGGAGACGCCCCTCCTGCACACTCACTATATGCTCTAGGACAGGGCGCCTGGAACACATGGCTTCCTGAGCTCTTCACACAGTACCTGGTGTTCCTGTGAAGGCATGTATTTCATTCTGCTGATGATTAAAGGATATTCCTATATATTTGTTGACAACATTTTTGAAAATACAAAAAAAGGGCATAAGTAAAAATCCCACCGATACATTTCAGTGACTGTTAATGCTACTTTTCTCTTTATCCCTCTCCCCTTTTCCTTTCTCTCTTTCCTCCTTTGGTTCTTTGTTTGGCTTTTTTTCTTTCTATTTTCAACATAATATCTTTAATAAGCAATCTCTGTTATGAGAAATAAATGCCTTCTTAACTCCTACCTCAATAGAGCGCTACCTCCCATAGGAGCAGAGTAAGTTTCCTTTACAGTACTAAAGCCCCAAAGGCATAAATAAGCTCAGTGCAGGACTGTGGCCAGGGGTGGGAGGGTGTTCTGACACAGTGTGCATCAGTGAGGCAAGGTGTTTGAAGTGCTATAAGCTAAGGGTTCCACATACACACAAAACACACAAAAGGGACAATTTTCATTAAGACAGAACTATAAAGGCAAGTAGAGGACTGTGACTCTACAGTCACCCGACCCTCCTAACATCCCACCTCCCGGCCGCAACAAGTTGTATGTGTATAAACGCACACATATCTTCTATTGATTCGGACACATAATTATTATTCTTGTTTTGATTTTTGCTGCTGCTTCACACATCTCTGGCCTTTCTGTATCTGGCTTCTTTCTTGTTTAGCTGAAGTCATCCGCGAACTAAGTCAAAAGTTTTCTTTACCTGTTCATTGACTTTTAGCGACATCCACTTGCTCCCTTCTTCCCAGTTGCCTTTTTATTCATTCTCACCATTCTTTCTTCCCACGTGTCGTTCACAATACTTGGAGTGATTTGCGGGAGTCACTGGTGTCCCGGGATGAGGTGACCCCAGCCCTTGTGTCTCCCAGTTTAACCCACCCCAGCCAGGCCATTGTCATCTTTCTACCTTCCTTTCCTTGTTTCCAAGGCTATTGGGGAGTTCATTTTGGTGGACAAGAATGTGAAGATCAAAAAGAAAGGCAAAATCTACAGCCTTAATGAAGGCTATGCCAAGGACTTTGATCCTGCCATCACCGAGTACATCCAGAGGAAGAAGCTTCCTTCAGTAAGCAAGGGGACAGGGAGGTAGCTGGGACAATGTCACTTTCCAGGCATTTGACACTGGGGCAGCTCTGGGGAATGGGTGTCCCCAGAGAAGAAGAGGGACCGTTGGGATTGGGAAGGGCCCTGGACTTCCTCTGGTTCTCAGGTCATGCATCTGTTGATCATGATTTATCCTAGAGGTGAAAGCAGCCAAGGTAGAAGTGAATTGGATTTCAATCTGCTCTGAGCCTGTGATTAAATTCTCATCTAGGTACCAGAGACTGGAATGCTTGCCTTGAGATGTCAAAATGGTAGTGTTATTTCAGTCTTTGCCATTCTCTCTTGGCAAAAGAAAATTGAGATAATAAAGTTAACTGGCTGAATGAGTTCACGGCAATAGACATTTCCACTTTTGGGGTCCCTGATCCCAGATAGTACAAAATGTGGTGCTCCCACCCTGGGACCAGCCATGTTGTACCTGTCCCTCCCCTCTACCTCTGTGATGAAATTCTATCAGTTGCCTGAAAGTATAGAGAGTGTCCTTCTCTGTATCTCTCTGAAGAGATCACAAGTCCATGAATACGAAGAAAAGTGACTAACTGGGGAACATCTGCTTTTGTTATATCCCTGCTTAAAAGCCATCAATGGCTGATGTTTTCTGAGGATGAGGCCCACGTGTTTTTAGTGTGGCATCGAGGGCCCTTGGAGCTGGCCCCAGAATTTCTCTCCAGCTTAACTGCTTCTCTTTTCTCTTTGCCCTCGTTGCCCTCCCATCCCAACCCCTACACACATGCATTCCTGCAGGCCCTCTGTCATGACACTGCCCTTTCCATGTGGCTAAATCTTTGCTTGGAAAGATCCCTCTTTATTCCCGCCCAGCTCCTTAGTTTGGTAAAATCCTTTCTCAACCTTCAAGGTCCTGCTAAATGTTACAGTTTTTGTGACTCCTGCTCCTACCCTATAACCACAGCCAACCACCCTCTTTGGAGCCTTTGCCAGCCATTTCACCTTTTAGGAGATGGGTAGCAGGCACTCTCCATTTTCCATTTTCTGCTTCTTAGGAACAGTATTTTCATTATATTTCTTATTGCAGTTCCAAGCAATATAGGAGCTCAATAAATGATTGCGGAATCAAATGAGCATAAGACATGAAGAGAATGTTCTTAATTTTCTGCAACCTTTATAATGCTGTTTACCTTGTAGGATAATTCAGCTCCCTATGGTGCCCGGTACGTGGGCTCCATGGTGGCTGATGTGCACCGCACCCTGGTCTACGGAGGGATCTTTTTATACCCTGCTAACAAGAAGAGCCCCAGTGGGAAGGTAAGCATAACCCTGAAAAGTGGCTGAGATGGAGTGGATTTCATTTTCAGCCTGGGGAATTTGAATTCATTCAGAAGAAAAAAAGGTTATGACATCTGCTACGCAATCCAGTTGGTTTCTTGGGATGTCTGTGGCAT